GGAAGTGGAAGTGGAAGTGGAAGTGAAACGAGGGAGGAAAGAACTGTAAGAAGAAAGCTGAGGACATAGATAAAAAAGCAAGTGCACATTCCCATGGCCATCTTTCGTTCCCCACTCGCTTGCCAACCGCCAACCAACCCAAGGCCGGAAGACCCTTGGGATTTCCATGGGATTTGCCCACCTAAATTCCCCTCTGACAAGCTAAACCCTCCAGCCAGAACCTTTGCTGTACGTACAGAAAACTAACCTTACTTGACCTTTGACCTGTGGATGATGTTAGCTGTCTGGCTGGCTTGTCTTTGGCTTGTCTCCTCTTTTTGTGGCTGCTGCTCACCCACCTATCGATCTACCAGTACCAACTGAACATTGAAACTTCCTTCTTCCCTGTGTAGTAGTTTACCTTCTTCTTCGTCTTCTTCTTCTTCCCTCCTACTACTACTACCTGCGGCCGGCGACCTGACTTGATCGGGACGTCCTACCTACAATTACCACTACTACTACTACTACTACTTACTACTTGCCTCTCCCCAGTTCCCTTCTGGTGTTCTCTTCTTGTCTCATTCTTCTCCTCCTTCTCCACTTCCCGTCTTTCCTCCCGGATCCGCGTCTCCCCTCCTTCCTCCCCTTTCCCCGTCTCTCTCTCTTGTCTCTCTGTCTCTCTCTGTTCCTCCCTTCCCGTGGACGTTCAACACCAGAAGGCGGTCCCGTGACTCGTTCGGGGCTCTCGCTCTCCTACCACAGCTTCCCTTTTTCCCCTTCCACCCCGCCATTCTTTCTTCCTTTCCCCCCCAAATCCCTTCCTCCCACTTCATCCACCGTTTCTTCGCTCCTGTTTGCGCAGGCGGTGTGTTTTGGCTTCGTGCCTTCCGTCCGCACTCTTTACGGCTTTGCGTCGTGCGACGACGTAGAGCTACGCTCGGTGACGATCCAGCCAGATGGCTTCTACCGTCAATTCGGTGCCGGCTGCCAACAGTGCGTCTGGCAATGCCGTGAATCCTCAGAACCCCGGTACTAGACCTTCTTTGAGATCCAGTGCTAGTACGAAGGCTTCGGAGGGCGGCCGGCGTCAATCCGGTAGTCCTCTCGAGAGCGGGCAGAGGTACGTTGTGAGGTCAACATGTTATGCCTCATTCCTCCCAACTCCTTTCGACTCGTTTGCTTCCATTGCCCTTTCCTCACCGCTTGTCGCCTCACGAAATATGGTCGTTTGCTCTGTTACCATCCCCCCCTCCCTCTAAACCCTGTGCAGGACGGGTCTCGTCCTGCCAATGCCCTCCGTGGCTGTCGGGTCTTCTTGACGACTGTTTGGCGTCATTGTGTCCTCGCTTCCTCATTTTTCTCAACCCGTGTTCTTGTTTCACCACCAGACTCGTGCCTGATGAAAAGGCATTATCGTCTTCTCATACTCGTTGCTGATAGCCACGACATTGTATTGCGCATCGGCTAATCCATTTCTTTTTTAATGATAGACGCAGTAACTCCACCAAAGCTTGGTCTCACGGCGCAAACCCGATCACACAGCGGGCCTCGTACTCACAGCAGAACGGCAACATGTCTCACAAACAGTCCGCCTCTCCTCGACCGACTCCGAAAGAGTCCAACACCCCCGATAACCACGCAAATGACCGTCTTGTTTTCTTGTTTGCTAGCTTCATTGTAAGCTCAGTGTTCCAGACCCGGCATGTGTCAACGTGAAAGGCTTACGGTTTTCAGGGTTTGAATGCTACGATTACCACAAGAAATGGGGATAAATACACGGGAATTTTTTCGTCCTCGACGTTGGAACCTAGCGACTGTTCATTCGTACTCAAGATGGTGCAACGGCCCACCAAGGCGGATCAGAACAAGGCGAATGGGGTTAGTGATGTCTCAAGCCCGTATATGGGGTCGGCACCGGATCATAGCATGTCCTTCGATGTCAAGGATGTGGTCGATATTTCGGTCCCGAACGTCACCCCGGCCGATGTTACAGCAAAGAGCGCGAACGGTAAGTCACCGGGCTAGCTTGATAACGTTGATGGCCACTTTGAAATCCTAACGAAGTATTAGGGACTCCTGTAGGTTTCAAAACGGATACTGACATCTCCGGAAATCTTGCGATTCGCGAGCGGACCCTCAAGCGCTGGGAACCTGCCGCCGATACGGACGTTGACCTCTCACTCGAAAGCGCGCACAATTTAACTGGATGGGACCAGTTCGAAGCAAACGCCAGGCTCTTCGGTGCTACCAGCAGTTACGATGAGAACATCTACACCACTAGAATCGATCGGTCGGACCCTACCTATAAACAGAAGGAAGCAGATGCTGCTCGAATTGCTCGCGAAATCGAAGGCGCTACTACAGACAATGCACATGTTCGTGAGGAAAGAGGGCAGGTATCGGCAGATGATCATGATGAGGAAGCTAAATACAGCGGTGTCCGCCGTGATGAGAGGAACTTCCCGCCGCTTGTTTCGGGCCAGCCAAATAAGTACACTCCGCCAGCGCGCAGGCAAAACGCCGCTCAATCTGCCATGGCCGCGGGAGCTCCCGCAAGCTCTCTCAAACAGGTTCCTAGTGCCCCGAAAGACGCTGTTGCCGCCGGACCGCCCAAGGAGAATGGGCAGGCCCAGGCCCAACCTGCACCGTCCAGTATAACAGCAAGCTCTGCTGCCGATACGGAACAAAAGCCTGCCTTGTCCAAGACCACATCTGGTGCCCCGGCTCCCGCAAATGCTACTTCAAATGTGGAGGCCGAGGTGCTCGACTCTTTCCGACAATTCGCCCACAGTGAAAAGGCGAAGTTGCAAGAACGCCGTCGTAACCAGGCTTCGTATGATCGAACCATTAAGTTGAACGAACTTATGAAGTTTTCCAAGAACTTCAAACTGGCAACGCCAGTGCCCAAGGATTTGGTACCCATCCTAGCTAAAGACCCGCACAAGCAGGAAGAGATCATCCAAAGAGCTCAGCAGCACGCTGAGGAGAAGGTTGTGACCAAGTCCCCAGCAAGCGCTGAGTCGAAGCCCGCTGCTCGCCCATCTGGAAACGCTCGCCAGGAGAGTGGAACTATGCCGCCTCCTGCACAGGCTGACCGCCAGAACTATCCTCGGGGTCGTCAAATGTTTCCCCCAACCGGTCCGCATGCTGGACCGGGTGGGCGGCTTCCGCAGCAGCCCGTGCACCAGGGCCGTCAAGCCACTGGCATGCTCGGCCATCGTCTAGCAGATAACATACAGCAGCGAAAGGGAGCCGCGATGGGAACTGTTCCCGCTCCCTTGCCTATCAATGAAGTTCGCATTCCTCCAACTGGCCCAGCTGGCGAGCAGCCTGCTGTTACTAGCCCGAATAAGGTGCAGACACCAACCTCGTCCGTGTCGACCAAGTTCAACGTGAGGGCCCTGGAGTTTAAGCCAAACCCCGCTGCAAGTACCTTTACACCCGGTGCTTCGTCCACCTCATCTCCTTTCACCCGAGGACGCTCCGTCTCACGGACCACTAGCCCTTCGTTGTTCTTCGGGGCTAAGAAGCCAAGACCAATTTCTGAGAGGCCGTCCCTTAATGATCAGTTCAACCCCATTAAGCGCATGAAGAAGGAAAATGCGGAGTCAAATGAGAAGGGATTCGCCTTCAATGGAGGCATCCCGCCTGCTTACAGGACTCCCCCTACTTGGGATGCCGCTCCCGGAAACGAAGAAAAGACTTACCTGGAAATGTTTAAGCCGCCTGCTTCGGTGCCGGCCATCTCTCCCCAGAGCCGCTCTGCGTCCAATCCCCAGATGCCTCCGCCGCAGATGCCGTTCCAGTTCCCACAGAACACGCCCGGCATGCCTCCCACCACTGGTCCACCACACGGGCCTCATCTGCACCCTCAGCAGCATCATAATTCCGGGCCCCCACACTTTGACGATCCCCACCGCATGCAGATGTCTGCCTCGACCTCGCAAGTGTTCCCATCCCCCAGGTTACAGCACGGTTACCCGTCCCCCATGGCGCCACATGCACAGCTTGCATTTGGCCAAGCCATGCCACAGTTCTATGTCAGCCAGGCCGGCACACAACCTGGACATATGAGACATTACCCGGGCGGTCCCCAATTCGTCAACCCCCAACCAACCATGGGCGCTCCAATGATGGTTCAACAGCCGTCTAGTGGACCATACATGGGTGTTCCTCAAGGCGTGGCCCCCTATACACCCCAGATGCAGATGTATTCCCCAAATCCTAGCCACGCGTATCCCCAACATGTGCCACCGCCCCAGCCTCACAGTGGCTATCCCAGTCCCAGTCGGGGTGCTCCCATGATGATGCACCAGAACTCTCAGCCGGGTCAGCCCCCCCAACCGGTGATGTTCATGTCCCCTGGGCAGCATGGCCAGCCCGTATATCCGACGCAGCAGCCTACTCACAGTATGTTATAACGAAGTCAGAAGACCGTTGTGGGGTTAGGTAGCTAACTAGCATAGTGCCCCCAGTCCGCGGCAATTATCCTCAGCAGCAGCCCCATTTCCAGTCCAGTCCCCACCAAGTGCACCATTACCCACCCCACCAGCATCGGACACCGAGTAGCGGTTACAACCAAATGCCGCAGATGCCTCCCCAAATGCCTGCTCAACCCCCGTCTACTGTCGCATCTGGACCTCAACCGCAAGAGGCAGCGGATGAAGTGAAATGAACCACCCCCCGCTTGACAAGCGTGAGACGCCATATCGCTGGCTTAGCGACCTGACCCAAAACACCGCCGTTCCTCTTTGGAAATTCAGGCTTCACTTGGATGTGAACTCCAGTTGTTCACCGTTGGCGACTCAAATCGTCTCGCGTCGACCAACAACCTCACTATGTTTACCAAAGCTATCTGTACATTGTACGTATGCGCTGCGCTATGTGCACCGGAAGACTTATAGTGTTCCCGGTTGGCGGGTTGCGATTCCCTGCTGGTAAGCTTTCCTCGGTACCCTCGATTGGTTGGTACGTGCTAACCAAAGGCAGGCGAGGTGGCAGCTTCGTGTGAAGTACTGCAGTCAGATCAGGTGTGTATAGGAGTATAGCCATGGGCTATAAGTTGAGAGACCTCTGGGGATTGGTGTGTCGGCAAATAGTTCGGCATCCGATGGCCTTGTTGCCATCCTATGCAGGCCTATACTATACGGCTTCTTGGAAGTGATTTACGGAAGCCAACGAAGGGATTCCACTACGATAACTTTCCAAGTTACTGGGGTACTCATTGCTATATGCCAATGATGTTCTGGGATTTATTTTTTTCTTTTTCTCTTTTCCTTTCTTCGTCTTGCATGTCTTTTGCGTTGCCATCTCTACCCATGGGGAATCGGGCCGGAGGAAGAGGGGAGTTCTGATGGACAGCGACGGGTGGAAGAGGCCATAGCGAGTGGTATAGGAGACACGTTGCACAGTACGGGAGTGAGTTGTCGGGATGACATTGAGAGGATATGAGGGGAAGTGTTCTAGGGCGACTTGTTTTACGCATTTTGAAGGGGATGAATGACATTTATATAATCGAGCTTGATGCCTCTTGTAGACAGGACTCAGTATAAGTAGCGTAGCAACTACGCAGGAGCTGCCAGTCAGCACGACGGAAGTAGATAGTCGCAGGCCCTAACTAGGATAACAAAATTCCAACAACAAGCATCAAGTAGTGAAAGAGCATTCTCCTCAGGTCTTTTCAGTTTCTTATTTGGTCATCATCCAACCAAGAAAGACGCCGCCACCGCGGTACTCTACCCCCCAACCCAAAGCCCAACCACCAGCCAAAGCACCCAGAATCCACCGACCCCGAACCCATCACAAAACCAGAGTTTGATCCCTGCTTCACCCTGCCCATCCCTCCCATCCCGCAAATCTCCCATTCGGCAGTTAACTCAAAGAAAAAAAGAATGTACGCCGCAGCCATTAGTTTCTGAAATTCCTCATGGAGAAAAGCGGACCAGAAACCCCAAATTGCGGCTTGGAAACAAAGGAAGTAAATGTTTTGTTGTACACATGTCTCTCCAAGGTATAAAAAGCAACGTCGTGAGCCTCTCGACCAGAACCTTCATGCCTTTAACAAGAACTTGTGCCTGCCTTTATGATGGGGAGAAGAGCGTGAATGGAAAGTAATGGGATCAGGTAGCTGCGAGAGATGTCCCCATGATGTTTGCAATGGGAGGATGTTCGAGGAAAAGGGATTCTTTTTGTTGGATTGCTTGTGCTGGGAGTGTTGGTTGGGTTGGAAGGTGAGCACACAGCGGGGGAGTTGAGACGACGCTTTCGTATGGTTTTCGCGGTCTGACCTTTTACCAGGTGATCATCATTGGAGAATGGGTTGTCTCTTGTGGTTTGGGGTGGAAGGGAAGTGGGGGATTGAGGGAAGGGTTGTCTGTGACTGGAAGTAAATTGGGTCTGTGACGGGGGGAGGAGTCAAGTAGGAAGTTATGGGACGTGCCTTGTGTTAGCTCAGCTCGGTGTGAAGGGTTAGTTGGAAGTGAGTATTGATTGTTGACGATAAGATCGAAGAGAGCATCATGTAGGTATCAGTGTCGTTGCTGCTATCATTCAGCAGATGCGTCTGTCGTGGTAGATAGATATAGAAACAGGATAGCGTGTGTTGTATGTTGTTAAAGCTTAAGGGAAAGAAAGAAAGTCAAGCTCCGGCGATAAAATGGGGAGCTTTCCCACAAAAAGACCCTAAACCCGATTGGGGGCGGGGTACCACGGGCAGCGCCAAAGGGGGACAAATCCGTTGTATTATTCCCATGTCCCCCGATCTCTCTCTCCCTGTTGAACTTGGGGGCCGTTGAATCTCTTGTCGTTCTGTCTTGAACTAGAGATCGGTCGCATACGTGTCGTTTCTCTAAACCTTTCTTTCTTTCTTTATCCGTCCATATACCCCCCTTTCTTTTCTCCCCGCCGAAGACGTTCCTCCACTATCGCCGCTGCGGTGGTAGTTATCTTTAAAGACCAGCTAGTAGTAAATCTAGCTGCCCCCTCCCACGACTGTCTGCGCCACCCACACCAGCCATGGATTTCCTCAAATCTGCCGTCGCATCGGCGATCGCAAAGGGTAGTTCATTCCCTTACTCACTCGGAGACAGAGTCGACCTCTCCGACTCGATCTGGACGCTACACAATGCTACGAAACGGGTATGAGATGTCATGCGGACCCGCGGAAACAAAACCCCCCCATGGGGCTAATGCGATTGCTGATCGGCACTTGGTACGTATAGGAAGACGGTTCGCCCTGCAGCGTCTTTACCTTCGATATTGCTCCCAATAAGTCCCGTCTACCGTTGGCGAAGAATGCGGTGCGCAAGTCCCGGACGCTGAGACATCCCGGGGTGATTAAGGTCTTGGATACGATCGAGGTAATTAGGCATATAATAGATCATGCATTGTATGTTGTATGGACTGAATGGCTGACCGGTTATAGACGGAAGCTAGCCTTTACATCGTCACCGAGCGAGTCGTTCCCCTTGCGTGGCATGTTAAGCGAAGGAGTCTGAGCGAGGAGACGTCCAAATGGGGGTTGTATACTGTGGCGGTATGTTGTGGTTATGGTGGTTGTGGTTGCGATTGTGATTGTCCTGACGTATGTGGCTCTACAGTCTACGCTCAAGTTCATCAATGGAGATGCGGCCTCTGTTCATGGTGTTGTCAGAGCCTCTTCGGTATTCACAAGCGAGAGTGGGGAATGGAAGCTGGGTGGTTTCGACATTTTGAGTTCGATGAATGATGAGAATGCGGTCATTTATGTCGGTTTATCTTCGATTACATGACGGAAATGCGGTCTTACTGACAGCGCTTTGCAGACATATGGTAGTCTCGTTCCTGACGCCGCTCGATTCACACCTCCGGAGGTCGTCAAGAGCGGATGGGACACGATCAAACGGAACCCGCTGACTGCGATTGATTCTTACGGGCTTGGAATACTAGTTTACGAGGTCTACAATGGCAACTTCACTGGCGGGGACCAGGTGGGCAAGACGACGAACATCCCGCCCAGTATGCATCAGAGCTATAAACGCCTGTGCACGGCGAATCCCAAACTGCGCCTGAGCCCTGCCCACTTTGTTGAGCAGGGGAAGAAGAGCGGCGGCTTCTTCGAAACCCCACTTATCCGGTTGACGGACGATATCGAGAGTTTGGGGCTCAAGAACGATGCAGAGCGAGAGGAGTTTGTCAAGTGAGTCAATGCTTTGTTATGAATAGGCTGCCGCTAGTGGAAGCTTACTGAAGTAGTGAGCTTGATGAGCTGTCTGACGACTTCCCTGAGGAGTTTTTCAAGATGAAGGTGCTTCCAGAGTTGCTAAAGTCAGTTGAGTTTGGCGGAGGCGGCCCAAAGGTACTGGGAGCTATTCTGAAGATCGGGGCGAAGTTATCCCAGGAAGAGTTCAACTCGCGACTTACGCCTGTCGTTGTCCGACTCTTTGGGAACCCGGATCGAGCGCTGCGGGTCTGCTTGCTCGATAACCTCCCTGTGATGATTGACAACCTGCCTCAAAAAATCGTCAATGACAAGATCTTTCCTCAGATTGTGAGTTCCAACAATCCCCGGCAGGGCTCGATGCTGATTTCATGTGCTATAGACCTCCGGCTTCACCGACGCCGCACCCGTCGTCCGAGAGCAGACGGTCAAGGCTGTTTTGCCAATTATCAACAAGCTCAGCGACCGTGTCATCAACGGTGACCTGCTCAAATTCCTCGCACGTACCGCCAACGATGAGCAGCCAGGAATCCGTACAAATACCACAATCTGCTTGGGCAAGATAGCTAAGAACCTCGGGCAAGGCGTGAGTGGCCCTCCCTAGAAGCCTCATACGCAATGCTGACCAGATACAGTCGAGATCCAAGGTCCTTATTGCGGCCTTCACCAGGTCTCTTCGGGATCCCTTCGTCCACGCCCGGAGCGCTGGTCTGCTCGCTCTTGGAGCGACGTTGGAGTTCTTCACCGAGGAAGACTGCGCGACAAAAGTGCTTCCGGCTATCTGCCCTTCCCTTCTGGATAAAGAAAAGTAAGAACATTCACTTTTTTCTCTCATGGATCGGGTCTAATGTTTCATATAGGATGGTCAGAGACCAGGCGAATAAGACACTCGACCTGTATCTCCAGCGTATCCGGAAGTACGGCAGCACAATGGCAGACACGGTAATTCCTCCGGCAGCCAGTGCAGATCCGACAAAGGATACAGCCCGTATCGGCACATCTAACGATAAATCATGGGCTGGATGGGCGATTTCCTCGTTCACCAATAAGCTCACGGCGGCCAATGGCGAAATCGAACCCACCGCCAACGGTGCTAAACCGGTTGAGCCTGAACCAGCTCGTCCAGCTTCTGTTCCCCGCCCAACGAGGGCGTCATCGTCGGTGCAGAAAGAGACACTACGGCCTGCAACTCAGTCTTTGAACCGGTCCATGTCGGAGCAACCACCAACTTTGGCTAAAGAAGAGGATGATACAGAAGATGTCTACGACGCGTGGGGTGCAATGGACGATGATGAAGACGAGCAGCAAGTAGAAGAGGACCCGTTCAGGGCGACAGCAACTAGCAGTCCAACAGTTTCTGCTGCTGCACCTGCCCCTGCACCTAAAGCAGCCCCCGTTCCGTACGATGATGGCGGCGAGCCGGACTTTGCGGGTTGGCTGGCCGCCCAGTCCAAGTCAAGGAAGCCATTGCCAAAGGGATTGAATAAATCCAGTCCCACCTCGGTATCACGGCCATCTAGCCGCAGTAGCACGGCTAAGCCCAGGACCGTTGTCGCACCAGCGAAGAAGATCGACACGACACCTAAAGACACTGAGGAGGACGATGGTTGGGGAGACGCTTGGGATTAGCAGTATAGATCCTTAATACCCGCATCTTTCTGTTCATCGGGGTACATATTCCTTTGCACTATATCGTGATTATATTCTCATCTTGCGACATATCCAAGGCATCAAGGCAGGGGAGTTTGGGCGCCATGCAGTATATAGTCGGTTAATTGCTTTTTCGTTGCTGCTGCATATGAGTTGCGATAGAATAGAATCAATCATTGCAGACATGGTTATATACAGCTTGGTTTTGACAGTTAATAAATCTGGGGCAGCCCACTAGAAGTAAACATGAAACGCCGGGTAGCGGTAGGGGGGGAGCACCGTTAGACGAATCGATAGTTGAGTGGAGGAGAGAGAAATATTACTAGTCAGTCTGGCTTGAGGATCGACTCGATAAGGCGGAGGGGTGGCGCCAATCAAGCGCCGGCTGCCCCGTGATCACATCCGCTGCTGATCCTCCGCCGCCCGAGACACTTCCAAGTCATCTTGTCTCTCCCTCCACCTGCCGGCCATCCCGTTCTCTGGCCTTTTGAATTCCTGATCATCTTACTCAAGAGTAGGACTTAACTCTCCTACGTCTGCCGTGCGGTTCGCTCGCTCGTCCGTGCAGTGCCAGGGCTAATTACTGTGCTCAGAATCTACTTAATCCTGCTGCCTTCCAGCGTCTCCGTACCTGAGTGTGTCCGGGAAGGCTGGTGGGTGTTGCATATCTTCCCATGCGCGATGGATGACGGGTTACGAACCTGAAGGTCAACTCGGTCCGTGATTTTGATTTCACACTTTCACAACAATATCTGTACTCGCTACAATGGAATCCGACGAAGCTCCTCCTCCGCCATACTCTGCGGTCGACCCGTTACTCGCACAAGCAAACAGCCGAAATGCCGCTGCGACTGCGGAAGTGAATCGTGTCCTGCTACGTCTGCGTGGGGGGGAGACAACCCTAGGCACCTCGCCCTCAAGTCCTGCGTCCAGCTCCGCCAGTCATGATTTTCCAGCATCCTCCGCCAGCTTGCCTACCCACTTCACATCTGCTGCGGAATACTTCGTGGAGCGACCGCCTCCGACTTCAAGCCGTCAGGGGGACATTGTGGAACATTGTGTAACGATCTTTCCGCGCAGCCAATCAAAGGATATCCGGCGTCGACCTCGTTGTTGGACCGCGCAGAAGACGGAAGACATCACCCAGCAGGACTGGGACGTTTTTCTGAGATACTTATTTCCACCGCATCTGGGTCTAGCGTCTACTTCGGTACAACTGCCCCGTCAAGTCAGAGCAGAGATTCAGCGTGATCGCAAGGATCGGCCCCAGGAAACGGATGAAGAACGCAAGAGACGGATTGCTGCTGTGATAATGGAGTGGAATCAATACTTCTTCGAACCCCGCTCGGCTCGTGTCGTATATGTCTACGTGATGGACCCTCAAAGTGCGCCGCGATCATCTTTGTGTCCTAAGTGTTGGCCGGCTGCTACAACACGAGAAAACCGAGTCGCCCAGGCGTCCGACGCTGGTCGAGGTCGCTTACAACAGTCGCCTGTGACACCAACAGCTGCTGAGCAGCCCGGTGCGCCTCCAGTCAGTGCTGTTTATACACCAGGGCCATATGCCTACCCACAATATCCTACCCCTCCTACACCTTACGCACCCTATGGGCATCCTGCGCCATACAGCCCTGCTGTGTATCCGCCTCATCCCGCATATCATTACCCCCCTCCACCACCGCCGCCGCCGCCGCCCGGTCACTACCCTCCTCAGCCTCCATGGGGCTGGACTGCTCCCCCTTATGGGGTTCCTTACCAGGATCCAAGCATGTCAAAGGGAGGAGGACCCTTAGATTGGATAGCGTCGTTGGCCTCGCAGGCCCAAAAGTATGGAGAGCGCTTCACTGAGCAAGCACAACATTATGGAAGGCAGGTGGAGGAACAGGCTCTTGCTCACAGTCGCTGGATCGAGGAGCAGGCCGGACTTCAGGGACGAAAGGTGGAGGACGCCTTCACAGGCTTTGTCAGTCCATCTCGCGATGATTGGATCGCGAACCAACCCCCTAAGCCAGGGTACGTACAGAATAGTACTGCGCATACACCTACGACCACGCCTACGGCTACGGCTACGACTACGACCACGACAGTTACGCCTCAACGCACTACTCCAGCTCAACCCGAACGGACTCGCCGGGCTTCAATCGACTCGGAGGCATCCGACTTGTCTTTCTCTTCGATTGATTCCCTGTCAACAACGTCCGAGCTCAGCGCCTCTGATCTGGCCACGGTCCGCGCGCAGCTTTTGTCACTGAACGACCACCACGACCGGGAGTTGTACGAAGCCGCCGTGGGTCTGCGGCGTCAGCTTGACGTTCTACAGCAGTCGCGACGCCAGAACCGTACATCTGGACGAAGCGGCTGGCGCCACGGCTGGAGGCGATGGGACTCGCCAAGCGAGCAGCACCAGAAGCAGTCAGACAAGCGAGCGGTCAAAGAAGAGACCCGAGCCACGCGGAAAGCATTCCGAGATGTATTGCGTCGAGCGCGAGAAGAGCAACGCGAAAAGCGGCGGCTCAAACGCACCCGCCGGCGTCAGGAGCAACGAGCACGTGAGGTGCAGAGGGATGGTGCTGAGATACCACTCGAGCAGCACATGCAGCGATTGGAGCTTGACACGAATCGTGAGAGCCGCTCAACTGTGCAGTCTTTCACCTCCATTCCATCTCCGGCGCGGTCCCTGGCCGAATCGGATAGTGAAATTAGTTCTATCAGCACACCGAGCACATCAAGTAACGAAAAGATGCCGGTCAAGGGGAAGAGCGAGAAGTCGGCAATCGAAAGGAAGCCGTGCAAAGAAGCAGAGAAGTCATATGAGAACGACAAGAAGGGCTCCGATCAATATAATCGGGGGGCGTCACGGCGCAATTAGTGGGCCATGGCCAGGACATCATTATCTGAAGAACTTTATGGGACGATGCATGATCATAGCGGTGTTTATATTCATGGAAGAGACTGGAATCGGGATTCTCTTATGTATTTATTACTTTCTTTATCATACCGGCGTCAACCCGGGGTACAATGTGGTCATTAGCATGCATTTTCAACATGAAACTTAGAACCATGCAACCAACCAGTTCCATACCAATACCAAGCAAGACCCAAGATCTACCAAAAACCATCGTATAACATCTATTTTATACAAGAAAAGACAACCCCACTCTTTTCCCCCAGAACCTAGGACCATTTTATAAAGAAAAAAAAAGAGAACTACTAAGAAGAAGCCTGCGCCTCATTCTTCTCAACCAAATCCCCAACTCCCAACCCACGCCCAACCTTCACCTTAACCATCTTCTCAGTACTTTCCTTCTCCTCCTTCTTCCCCAACTCACCCACCTCATCACCTTCATCCGCATCCTTCTCATCTTTCTCCGCCCGCTCGCGATCCTTCCGCTCAATCTCCGCCCAATTGATAAACATGCCCGACAGGTCCATGCGCATCGCATACGCATCCTCCCCATCCGCATAGTACTTGCTCTCCACACTATCGACCTGGAATCCGAGAGTATCGCGGTAAAGATGCAGCGCCGCTTTGTTGGATACGCGCACGTGCAGGGACACGTATTGTGCGCGGTGGCATTCGGCCATTGCGCGTTCTATACCCACAGAGAAAAGAAAGAAACATATTAGCAATTACCCCAGCAACATACGATAGAACAAGAGCGAGGGGGAGAGGGGGTATATATAATAAAACGTACGAGACATCCTCATCAACCTCTCCGCAATCCCCAAGCGTCTATGCGTCCTCATCACAGAAATACTCGTGATATGTCCATGCGGCACCCCATCCGTCGGCTCCTCCTCCATCTTCGCCAACACGTACCCAACTACCTTGGGATATTGTTCTGCGGCGCTGCCGGCTCCTTGGCCTCCTTTATTCTCGGTGGTGGTATACTTGCTGTAGCCGTTCTTGGGTCGCACCACGGCCACGAAGGATAGTTGGGGCCAGGTCAGTGCATGGTACAGGTAGTATTTTAGAAAGTAGTTCTCGGGGAGGTTCGTGATGTTGCAGGTTTGGATCGAGGGTAGGAGGTCGATGTAGGAGGGGTAGCTGCTGAGGGGGAGGATGTCGACCATTTTGGTTGGATTGGGGTTATCTCCCGGAGTGGGGGGATTGGGTTGGTATCGGAGATGGGATTTGGGGTGGGGGTTGAGGTATGGGGTTGTGGATTGGCCCCTGGGTGTGGTGTGGTTGGGATTGAGTAGCTTGTTGTTGTTGTAGTCTACTGTGTAAAGTGTGGTGATGATATTGAGAGCGGAGTTGGTTTGGTGGTGGTGGTGGTCAGCTGAGTGGGCGCTAGCTGGTTTGGGTTAGAGGCATCGGAGTTACTACTTTGTCGACGGAGTATATTGGGTGCTATCGATGCAGCTACATAGGGCTAGAGAAACCTGTTCATGAATTTAGTTTAACCACTAGGTTCAATTCTAACTGTACAGTCGTGAGTCATAATATAAGTGTATCCGTCAACTCCAAACTCCCACTATATACGCTCGGAGCAACACTAGAATATCGATGCCATATACTGCACTCCCGCAATCAGAAGCAACGTACTCATCACACTCACCCCAGGCATCACGCTTGTCGCGGCAGACGCTGCGCCGCAGCATTTCCCATCCCAGGTCACGTTGTTCATCTCGGCGGCCACCGCGAACACGGACCCGTTGAAGTTGCCGTAATTGTAGTAATCCACCAGAAGGAAGTTAGGCGGCCGGTCCCACATAGCTAAGAAATAGAGAGATTAGCATGTTACACAGACCACAGTCAGCTGTTACTTACCCGTGCAGTTGCGGGCCATCTTTCCTAGACTACCGTAGCCGGAGACCGCGTTGGTCTCGTTGAGCGAGGCAGTGTTGGGGATCAGCAGACTAATGCTGGCAATATTGATGTCGAGATTCAGGTTGTGGTTGGCCATGTACATCCGGTCTTTGGCGTCCTGCACGGACAGGTCCGGCGGGCGCTGCTCTGTGCAAGGGAAAGCTGCGTCCGTGGGTGAAAATGGCGTCTCCCACATCTGCGAAAACTCATCCATGAGCCACGGGTAGGCCGTCTGATTGGCCTGGTAGTCCATGAAGACAACGGCTCGCTTGCCAGACAGAATCATACTGGACATCGTAGGCCAATCATCCAGCGCCATTGGGATCTTCGAGGGTGTAAACACATAGTCCATGAGGCCAGAGTTCTGGATAGGGCCCGTGAAGTTGCCGGGGTCTACATAATCATAGTTGCCTATCATGATGGTGACCACGTCATATGGATGGGTTTTCACCCATTTCGTGACCGTCGTCAGGTAGTCTTCCAGAGGTCCCATGTTCAAAAGGTCGCAGCTGGTGTGACAAAGGTAGAGGGTGTTGTTGACCAGGTGTGTTTGAAATTGCACTGTCCGGGGTGTCAGCAAGATTCTATCCACAGGCTAAGCTTCGTCGATCGGGCAACTTACGCATCCGTATGCCATCGTCCAGCTGAGCGGTAACGTCCAACGCCTGGTTGGCTGCCGCATTGCCTGGCTTGACAAACGGGCTGTTGTGGGCAGCAACCATGGTGATGTTGGAGTACTTGCGCGCGCAAAACTCCGCGTGGCCATTGCAAGGCTGTGTGTTGACGACCGGAGTCGACGATGCTGTGGACGTCGCTGTTGTAGTAGCGTTGGTGCCATTGACTCCACCAGTCTGTCCGCCCACCAGCAGTGTGAGAGATTGCGACGAAGAAGTCACTGTCGTGGTGAAATTCCCGGATGCTGTTGTAGAGTTGGAGGTGGTTGTCGTCGCGGAGTGCGCCCCGGTGCTCGTGACGGTATGTCCATTATCGAGGGTCATAGTGGTAGTGTAGGAGAGGTAGTGACCTGTGGGCAGCGTCGCTTCACTGATGGACGAAGTGACGGTCCCCTCAAGAGTCAGGCCGCCATTGTTGCCGGTCGTCGTGGTGGTGGTGCTATCATCTTGTGCCAGAGCTGGCCAAACGCCCACTGCCAGGAGCGGCAGTAGGTGAGCGATCAACCGCATGACAAGAGGTGGTCTGGAGTCAAGAGGCCGGTCTGTGGAGGCTCGGAAGTTTTGGATATATATACAGCAGTGTATCTGTCCGAGGAGGACCACACGATGCGATCAGATGCACCAGATGGAGCACCAGATGGATCAGGACCCTGAAGAAGCAGAATACTCACCGGGCGCGGAATAATGTCTTACGATGAAGTCAACCATGGATGCTGGGCTGGTAAGGTATTTTTAGGTAGGTAAGGTAGGTAACAGGTATTATTACCACGCAGGGTTTCCCGCCTTCAGGGTACTGGCTTACTTTAGGGGGGCCGATCCCGGCAGCCATTGGTTGCCACCCCCCCTGACTGTCCGCCCCGCTGTCCCGGAGAGGAAAGCTCCAAGCTGGCCAGCAGCCGATCTTAGCCTGGCTTTCACTGGCAGATCGCCCGCATGGAAAATCCTCCCAGTCCTTCCGGCCAATTAGATTATCTCATCAGCCCAGGCAGCCAGAATTGAAAAAGACACCAAGGGTGGGGCCCACCTGTCGATGACGTTGTTTGAGCCAGTCTTGGCCAAACAGTCACTGACAGAGCAGATTTGTTGCCGAAACGCCAGAATAGGCAGTGACTTTTAATTCCAGGCCCTATGAGGGTCACTGCTAGTCTTTCTTGGCAAGTGGCTCCTGAATGTCGTGAGGATTGCCAGATCAGCCACGATCCCCACTGCATTGGGTAATCGGGAAAAACCATCAGCGGCTAATTCATGCCAATCATCACTGTATTCCAGCCCATCACCAGCCACGAACTGGGGTGGTTTGGGTGTTGGTCAACGGCGTCCACGCAGTAAGAGCCCCTCGATCAACGGGGGTGATTGCTGTACTTACTTCAGATTACTTCAGAGCAAGGATAAAATCTGCTCATGATCGGCCTTCTCCACTGTCTCGTCCACAGTCAGACTGCCGCCCAGGAGGGAAAAAGAGGCAGGGTAAGGAAAGTTCCTGCCACCATCGCAAAAATGTTCCCTTCAGGGTCTAGACCAGCGCCGCTGCTAAGAATACCTGCTGCGGCCCTGAGACTGAGACTTTCTCCCTGAGTAAGATTATTGAAGCCGCCAGCGTTACGGCTCGTGTGAAATTCTCATTGTTGTTTTTATTATTATTGTGGTTATTGTTTTAATTTTATTCTCTACTCCCCATTTATTTTATTCCATATTTTCTCATTCTGGTTGGCTGCCAAGGCGTCTAAGTTTTTTCAACCTTAAAGCCCAATTCAATTCCACGGCAGATCAGATCAGTCGGTAATATTCAGTCATCGATCTGTGTACTGTGTATACGTCGCTCTCGCCATCCACTTTGCTTTCCCTTTCCCTATTCTTTTCCCCCCATTCCCGCCATCTCTTCCTGTTCCTCGCTCCCCTTTTTTCTTTTCCACTCTCTGGTTTTCTTCTCCTGGATGTATCCCCAGCTTCGTCTCCTGATCCCGTCAACCTAATCCCGTGGTTGCCGGTGTTTCCCTCCCCGCTGGTCCTTTCTCTATCTCTCTTCCCATCGAATCCTGGCACGTGGTTCACGGGGGGCGTAAACGTCATTCAGTCGATGTCTTCCCAGATCTCTTCTATACTACGTATTAGAATTTAACTAGACGCCCTGCTCTTGATCTGGGTCTCCTTCTACATCATTTCCATCAATCTACTCCTCCATCCTCTTCGTCTATTCTCCGACTCTATTATCCGCAGATTCCGAACCTGCCCTCTCCACCACCACGTGCTTGACAGCGGTCCATGGCAAAGCTGCCCCTGTTCAGGAAAGCTCCTGCACGTCCGCAGGTCGGCCGGAGCAGATCGAAGGTGCTCTGGCACCGTATCCTTCGTTCCTTCTGCTATCTCATCGCTTGGATCTTTCTGATCTTGGTCTGCATTGGCAATGTCGCCGATAAGCCCGTTCTCCGACAGACCTACTTCCTCGAGATCAACCTGGCAAATATCATCCCATTGTCCACCCCCAATGCGGTCCTGATCGATACCATTGCTCGCACCATCGGTCTGCACGACTTTTACCAGGTGGGACTATGGAATTTTTGCGAAGGCTATCTGGACCAGGGCATCACCCACTGCTCTTCGCCCAAACCCCTCTACTGGTTCAATCCTGTCGAGATCATCCTCAGTGAACTGCTATCCGGCGCAACGAGTACGCTCCTCCCTCTAACACGAAAAACGCTCCCTTTACTAACAACCCTGCAGTTGCTCTTCCTGCCAACATCACGTCGGCTCTGCACATCGCCCGCATAGCCTCTCACTGGATGTTTGGTCTCTTTATCACCGCTACCGTCCTAACCTTCATCCTCATCTTCCTATCTCCACTTGCCGTCTCCTCACGGCCTCCTCAAGCTCTTTCCTCCGACCCAGTCATTAATCAAACCCACCCGCAACATCGTCGTCGAACCTTTGTGCTTCTCCGTTCTCTCCCGTTCCTCATCCTAACGTTCGTGACCGCTCTCTTCACCGTTGTTGCCTCCGTCGTCGCAACCGTCATGTTCATCATCTTCCGTAACGTCTTCACCTCCGCCAGCGAAGACCTCAACATCGACGCCTGGATCGGCACGCGCATGATGGCTTTCATGTGGATCGCCTCCGCCTTCAACCTTTTTGCATTTATTCTCCAGCTTGGCTCCTGCTGTGCGTCTTGCTGTGGTGGCCGCAAAACCCGCAAGCAGCTCAAACAAAATAGTGCCGGCACTGCGAGCCCTAGCAGCACAGCTTCCCCTGATGTGCGTGAGAAAGAGCATCCGCACAGCCCCGCAACTACGGAGTGAGCTGTTTTTTCCCTATGCCAGACCACATATGCTCTCGCAGATTGTGGTCCCTTTTCCTCCTCTCATCCAATACCCCGAAATTCATACCCCGAATGAGGAAAATCGCCTGTACGACGATGATAAATAGAACATAAAAGGTGTGAGCATCGCAGGGGCCCGCCAATATATACTGATCTGGATTTGTATACTGTACGTCTTTCTTGTTTGGTTTCCCGCTCTGGTTCGGGTTATGCTGTATAGACGCGATGGATATAGACTGGGGCATATTCGACTTAGACGGGATTCGGTTTTGGGTCTGAGTTGAGCTTGTGGCTGCCTCGCTTCCTTTTTGATACATTGGGAGGGCGCTGCACATGCCATCCAGCTTGCATAGGTTACGATATTTACGACTCTGTTATGATATTACGAGTGTGCGTATGCTAAGAATTCAATCCAAAGAAGAGGGGTATATATCTCGAATAAGAGTTGTAAATGACCCAAGTAATATATCTTACTCGACGAAATATGATTTAGATTTCAAAAATCCAGAGACTAGGAAGAACCTATTTCAACCCAGTTAGCGTTTTCC